CGCTGCGAGACACAGCAGCAGCAGCAGCAGCAGCAGCAAGGTGGCAGCAGCAGCACGGCTAGTAGCAGAAACGCGAACAGCAGCAGTAAAGCTAGCAAGCAGCGACAGCAAAGCTAGCAGCAGAAGCAGCAGCAGCAACAGAGCTAGCAGAAGCAGCAGCAGCAACAGCACTAGCATCAGCAGCGGCGGCAACAGCAAAACTAGCAGGAGCAGCAGCAAAACTAGCAGCAGCAGCAGCAGCAGCAGCTAAACATCATTAAACATTCTGGCCACACAGCCGCTCACCTCGCCTGATGCTGTCGCCCCCTATGCCAATCTCTGCTGCTGTCTTATATGCCTGCAAAGCAGCAACCCCTAAACCCTAAACCCTAAACCCTAAACCCTAAACGCTAAACCCTTGCACCTTACCGACACTTGGAGGCCGGCCTCAGTGGCGGCTGCAGCATGCAGAGCCCTAAACCCCAAACCCTAAACCCTAAACCCTAAACCCTAGGCCCTCGCCCAGGCGTCTCCTCTACCCGGGGCACCCCCAGGCGCCGGGACCTACACCCCCGCAGCCCCTTCCCCGCCCTTAACCCTAAACCCTAAACCCTAAACCCTAAACCCTCACCAGCGCCGCCGCCCTGCACTTGGCTGCTGCGTCGGGGGCCCCCTTTCTTGCTGCTGCTGCTGCTTCGAGGGCCTCCCCTTCCTTCAGCCAGCCCAGGGGATATCCCCCTTCTGCTGCTCGGCTGTAGCAGCTTGCTGCCAGCGTCAGCAGCTGAGAACAGCAGCAGCAGCAGCAGCAGCAGCAGGCGAGTGGCCCTTAGTAGCTCGTTCATCCTTATTTTTTTCAATTTGTTTTGTAACTGCACATCTTTTCTTATTTGTCTCTCTTGTGTCTCACTTTATCTCTTTCTTTGGATCCGTTTGCTGCTGCTGCTGCTGCTGCTTGCTGTTGCTTTATTTCCCCCAAAAAGTAAAGGGCCTCGGGATGCTCCTGCAGTGCTGCTTTTAAGAAATACATTTCGGCCTTCACGGGGTCTCTTTTAAGGACAAAGCTGCTGCTGCTGCTGCTGTTGCTGCTGCTGCTGCTGCTGTCGCCTTCCCCTGTCCCCATCCAGTAAAAATAGCCCAAGTAGTTCTGCGCGTCGGCGTCGCCAGCAGCAGATGCCTGAACCGCAGCAGCAGCAGTAGCAGCAGCAGCAGCAGCAGCAGCAACAGCAACAGCACCAACAAGGATGCCTGGAATGACTCCGTCTTGCTGCAGCAGCAGCCAAAGCCCCTACAGCAGCAGCCGCTGCAGCTACTGCCGCAGCTACTTCTGTAAGCGGCT